TTAACAGCAGTGCTCAGGCAAGCATGATTAAACTACTTCTGCTGCGAGAGATGAGCATCTCCCATATTTATCTAAAGCAACACAAAACCATAGATAGGTTAAATAAGTCACTCGAGGTCACAGACTGTGGCAGAGCTGGGATTAGAAATATTCAAAAGTCACTGAGGGAAGCAGCATGACTGATGGTTCAAGGTTCAGTGTTCCTGGTCTAAACCAGGACAGACACAGGAAATACAGTCACACCAGGTGACACCTCAAAATCAGCTGACAGGTGGGCCAAGCTCAGCACTCCCAACCCCTGCAGCCATGGCTGTGCTGTACTCACAGCAAACACATCTGTCAAGCAAAAGACAAGTGAAAATCCAAGAGCTGAACAGGAGAGGCAAGAGGAAGTGGCAGCCAGTCATCAGCACAGCGACCAACAAGTCAGGATACTCCAGCAAACAACTTAGTGAAAAGGTCAAATAGCCTCTTATTAATCCCTACCTAGGAACAAATGTACCTATTTAATGCTGCTCATTCCACCATTAGCTTCAGAGGGACACAACCATGGCCCTCCTGGTTCTGCTTTTGATCTTTAAATCAATTTCTCATCCCCTTCCCTTCGCAGGGTGATGGGAAAGCAGGTCAGAGCAGCTGTTCAGTGTAAGAGGCACAGAAACACCTCACTAACAACAGGAGAGGGTTTCTGCCTGCCAAGGCCATTCCTCAAGTCATCATCCCAAGATGAGAACCCCTGGCACTACCAGAGGTGAGGTGCACGTACCTGCCTGCCATCCTGCCCCACGTTGGTCTGTCCTCTCACCACAGTCCGAATGTTGTCATCCAACCTCCTGGAAAAAAGAACCCAAGAATGTCAAACTCAGTCTCTCTGTGCCTGACCCAAACAACTGTGGGAACCCTGACAGCTACAGAACCAATTTTAAATAGAAAAGCCAATGCTGCCAATGATAAACTCACTTTTTGCCCCCTCCTCTCTCTGTTGGACATATCATTTAAAAATTCCTGTCGCAAAACCAAAAATCAATTTCTTAATTTAATCAGGGCTTCTTGCAGTTCTCCTCCTTTAAGCAATATTGTCAGCTCTCCCTTGTCTGTTTGCATTTCAGCTTTCCACATATTAAAGTGCTGTCTAAAACACTGCAGGTTGGTAATGTCAGACTGCACAGGAAATTCAAGCATTTCCTGCCCCCTCCTATTTATTTTGTACATATAAGACCAATACTGACAATTAAAAAATACATGAGTTGAACAACTGATATTTTAGCATTGTACAATACAGGTGAAATATAAAGAATTATATTAAATGTGCCTCTATTAGCCTTGAGGCTGAGCCTACTCCTGCCTTTTAAGCAAATTAATTCCTATCAGCTACAGCACAAAGGCTGCATTTATGAAGTCTCAGTGACAACCAGAGATGCAATGAAACAGAGAAATATTTACCTTATTTTCAATCTGATTTTGTTCACAACTTCATCGATGTTTGCCAAAGACTAGAATATGAGAGGAAAAAAAAGAAAAAATCAGAGAGAAGGGAAATGGTGAATGTTTTACAGAGTTATATGTCAGCTGGGATCCTGAACACTTTACCTCTCGTGGCTCTTGAGAAAGAGGACAGCAATGGCTTTGTTTTACAGGTGGAGGAACTGAGACACACAACAACTCTGCTGCTTCTCTGCTCCATCACAAAGAGCAGCAAAAGACAGGCCAGGCCAAGGCTCCTGCCTGCCCCTATCCCTGAGCTCTGCCTCGTCCTTTGTCAGCAGAACTGCTCCCAAAAGCCGTGTGACAGTGACCTCCAGTGGGCAATGGGGATGGGAACAGAGCCTTTGCCTTTCCTGGGCAGACCCTCTTGCAGAGCCACACCCCCCTAACACAACCTTCAGCTGCAGAAACATCTCTTTTTTGCACTGTGTTAGTCCAAAACTCCCCCCGGGGCCGATGTGGGGAAGGCAAAGTGCGGATATGAGCCCACAGCAACCTCTCTCTTTAAATCAAAAGAAACAATGGTTCAAACACGGATGACTCTCCTGTGACACTGCACAGGCAACACCTGCCCGATTTGGCTGAAACCCCTGAGAACTCACCAATGATTAACACACAGCTAATTATGACATTTACTGCAGGAGAAACATCTATATAGAGACTAATTTACTTCTACAGATCAAAGCAGGACTCTTACTGCAGCAAGCACTCTGGGTGGAGAGAGACTACATAATGACAGCAAACCCTGTGAGATGCAAATTTAAGAAGCAATTATTGTTATAGCCTTATTAGCTGTGTTACTCTTTAAAAGAAAAGGTTTGGGCACAGGTTTAAACACACCTTCGGTCATCTACTATCAGGTTACCCCAATAGTAAAGGGTGAAAGTAAAACCTGATAGGAAAAGGTATGAAAGATGAGTCTGAGAGGGCTGTACTTGGAGCACTACTTACTTGCTCAGTGGGAAAGAGGGCATTAATATACTCCACAGCATTGAAATCTGCTCTGTCCAGGGGATCTTGGCTGGGAAACACCTGAAGAGAGGGAGGAAAACAAACAGAATCAACAACCACTGATAATTTCTGTAACTCTACACAGCATCCACCACTTCAAATTACTTCAGCACCCACTTCTGATTGTATCTCACATTGTTCTAACAAGTGGCCAGGCCTCTACCCGGGAGTAGAGCAGCCACGTGCTCTGCAGGTCTCCGACCTACTAAAATTCCTGTGGTTATCAGCCTGGATAAACACAGAAAATTTACACACATGCTTCCACACACAGCCCTGGCACAATCCATCAAGGAATTCCCAGGACACATGAGCCATTAATCACGTATCCCCCAAACCTTCCTGAAGCTTTTGCTGTTGTCTGGCACTGAGGCTCTGCCCTGCTCTTGGCCTGGGCTTTGTGGTGACAGACAGAGGATTTGCTTTTCACAGCCGTGTAACAGGAAACGTGAAGAATTAAGAAGTGGTTGTACAAGTTCTCTGGAGACTCGGGTTTGCCACATTTCACAGAGGAGGGGGAGAATAAGAATCTGCTGAATGATTGTTCCTACTCATGGGAAAAGGAAAAGAGCAGCTGTGGTGCAAACAGATCCCATCTCTCCTCAGGAGAAACTCAAACGATACAAATGCGGCTGCCAGGCTTTGCTTTTGTCCCCACAGACTAAAATGTGGTGTTTTCCCTTCCCTGCTACCACACTGAAGCTGTGCATGCCCCATCCCTGGAAGTGTTCAAGGCCAGGCTGGACTGGGCACAGAGCAACCTGGTCTAGGGGAATGGGTCCCTGAACCAGCCCTCTTGGGCAGCTTTCCCAGTCACTCCTGTGGCCAAGGAGAAGCAGGCAGCAATTAAACATGCATGAGGATGAGGCTGTGCTGAGTGAGGGACATGCTCTGACATCAGCCCAGGGTAAGAGCACGGCTGCAGCATCACACCCAGCCTTGTCACAAACACTCCACAAATCCCAAGCCTCCACCAGTATTAAGAGCAGATGAAACGAGAGGTGAGATGGAAGATAAAGGTTGGTCAGGAGCTGCACTCAAACTGCAGATAGAGATCAGTGCTGCAGGCAGCTGGAGCAGCTGAAGGAGTTGTTACTCCCAGGAGTTTGTCACAACCTATTAATCAGAAATAATACCCCAGGTTTGGTGGAGCACCAGCCTGTCTGTGCTCCCCACCCTGCTTCGGGCAGGTCAGCTGAGCCAGCTCTGCTCACTGAAGCACAACTTTGCCCAAAGCTGGTTAAGGAACACCCAAAGGAACAGCAGGGTTATTGGGTTGGGAAGTGCCAGTGAGGAAGTGATGGAAGGCAGGAGGTGGCGACGCCCTCAACACATCCCCTTGCCCAGGATGTGAATATCTGCCTACAGCCCTACTGCCTTGCCCCCCTCCTGGTGCTGGGCTCATCTGGGGTGCTGTGCCTGCTCCCAGGGTCTGCCCTAATTCTTCAGGGGAGAGCCACAAGCCTCAACATTCAAGACAATGAAAAAGCTCATCTGAGTGATACTTTGTGAGACAGCTGCTGCTACTGCCCACAGATTTGTGCTACACAAAGAGCTTTTAGGACAGAAGGGCTGGCTGCAGGCAGTGCAGGCTCACAGAGGACAAGAGACATGGTTTTACCCCAGGTTCTCATGGGATTTTGATGGGCTCCAAGTGCCGGAGTTTCAGGGAACCCCGGAAGACTTGGGAAGGAACACAGAGTAATAGAATATCCTGAGCATCATCGAGTCCAACTCCTGGCCCTGCACAGGACACCCCAAAGGTCCCAGCCCAGCCCCAACAATCCCACCATGTGCTGAGAGCGTTGTCCAAACACTCCTTGAGCTCTGCCAGGGTTGGGGCCGTGACCACTGCCCTGGGGAGTCCATTCCAGTGGCCAAACACCCTCCCGTGCATCAGCCACAAATCAAACCCAGCCATTCCGATTACCCTGACCTCCACGGAGCCACAGGCATCCGAGTGCACCGAGGTGCTTCGCACACCACCTAACGCGCCTGCAACAAGCGACAGAGCCCTGCGCTGCCTGTCAGCGACGGGGACGCGGGGGGCACACGCTCAGCACAGGCCCGAGCACCTCGGACCCGGGGGTCCGAGCCCAACCGGGGCTGCCCGGGGGCTCCCCGGGCCCAGCAGCGGGGAAGGCCCGGGGAGCCTCGGCGGGGACTCGCCCGGCTCCAGGCCCTCACCGGGCGGTCCCGGGCCGTGCCCCACAGCTGCCCCCTCACGGGGGGCCCCGTCCCGGCGCACCTGCTCGATGGCGGCCTGCACGGCGGGCGCCAATTCCAGCGCCGCCTCCAGCCCGGCCTCCAGCTCCGGCTCGTCCTCCTCCATGGCGGCGCCGCTTCCGCCGCGCTGAGGGCGGGGCCTGAGGGCGTGGGCGGGGCCTACGCGGGTGTGGTCCCGCCGAGGGGCGGGGTTTGTGCCGCGGGGGCGGGGCCTCCCGCCCGGCGGAGCGGGGCGAGTCCCGGCGGCGGCGGCGGGGCTGGACCGGACCGAGCCCGGCCGAGCCGAGCCGGGCTGGGCTGAGGCGAGGCGAGCCAAGCGAGCCGGGCCGAGCCGAGCCGAGCCGAGCCGAGCCGAGCCGATTCGATCCAAGCTGAGCTGAGCTGGGCTGAGCCGAGCCGATCCAAATCGATCTGACCCGATCCAAGCCGAGCCGAGCTGAGCCGAGCCGCGCCGGGCCCTCCCGCCGCCCGCCCGGCTGTTGACAAGCGGCGGCGGGAGGCAGCGCGCTCGTCCCCATGTGGCGGACGCTGGCCCTCGCCTCCGCCTTCTTCCCGGGGCTCTTCGTCCTCTGCATCCGGTTGCTGCGCTGGGCCGCCCCGGGATGGAGCCTCAAGGACCGCATCCTGCTCAGCGGCAGGTAGGGGCGGCAGCGGCGGGAGGGGACACGGCACCGTGGCAGGAGAACGCCGCCGGTACCCACCGGTAGCGGGACCGAGAGCGATCCGGGCGGGCCAGGAGCACCGAGAGCCTGCATCCGGGGATGCCCAAGCCCGCGACGCTCTGGGGGCCGGATTCCGGCTGTCCCGAGCCTGGATCCCGCGAGGGGAGCAGGGGCCGGTGGCCGGAGCAGCCCTGCGAGGGTGGGCAGCCCCTAAAGGTGGGCATTCCACGAGAACGGGCATTCCCCGAGCACGGGCAGCCCCCGAGGGTGGGCATCCCCCCGAGCACGGGCAGCCCTGCCCGGCCGTACCCCCGCGCTGTGGTACCCGTTGTCGGAGCGGGGATGCTCCAGTGCATCGCTCCTTCTGCCCGCGGGGAACGGGCAGCGTTACCACCGACCCACGGGGGTAGAAGGGATGAGACCTCGAAAGAACACCCCCCGTCTGTGTCCCCGGCAGGCAGCGCTGGCACAGCCATCCCTCGCTGTGGTGTGTCACACTGCTGGGGTGTGCACGGAGTGGGTGGTTAAGTGCTCCCAGCTCTCCCGGTGCCAGCCCTGTGCCTCGGCCCTTCTGGGGTCACGTTTGGGGTGACCTGTTTCCCCTCTCGGTTTCAGGCTGGTGTCAACGGTCCAAGCCACGATGGCCACGGTGTCAGGGATCACGGTTGTCCTCAGCTGCAAGAACGTGGTGTACGACAGGTAACCCGGCGCCCGCTGTCCTCCAGGGAGCACACAGAGGATGTGCCCGGCCAGCTCCAGGGCTGGAATGTTTTATGCCAAAGGCTTGCACGTACAAAGGGGAGAGGATAACCATTTTCATGGTCCCCTTTCCTCCACTTTGTGTGAAGGGTTGTGCAATGTGCTGGCTGTGCACCCCCCTGAATGGCACCGGCTTGTTCCAAGCGCTCAGACATGGGGCTGCTCTGCCAGCACAGTCTCCTCCGGAGGATGGGCTGTAACACAGGCTGTGTGTGAGCAAATAATTATAGACATCATCAGTTCTAAAGGGGTAGGGACTCTCCTTGCTGGAAGCTGAAATTGCTACCGAGTCAGGCAGACGTAGTGAGAACTGATTTTAGAGGTGTAGCTCCTTCTCTGTGCCAAAGGGATTATGAAGGAGTCCAGAAATGAGAAAATCAGAATGGAGTTTGCTCTGACAGAAAATCCTGTTGCCTTGTCCCGAATGCTCTGAGATAAACTGCCCAGAAGTGGCTCTCAGGAGGAGTGATAGTGTAATCTGGGTCAGAAGACTTAAAAACAGAGCTATTATCCAGTCAAGCAGAGAAGATTGTAGGAGGGAAGAATATAATTATGCTGAGCTGGAATCTGACTGTCACACACTGATTTTTAGGAAGGGGCTGCCCCCTCGGTCATTGCAGACTTGCCTCTAATACACAGAAGTGAAGTGTCCTGCCTTGCTCTAGATAGTGATGTCTACCCACATTGCTCAGTCCTGCTTAACGCAGGCAGTCTATGAGTTACCTTTTTGCTCTAAAATAAAATTTCTGCTGGATAGATAAAGGCAGATGATGAAGCCCAGAGCCACAGAGACGGAAGGTGCTACCAGCAGCCCTCCTTCCCCCCCCGGAGCTGTCTGCTTGCCCGGGTGTTCTCGAGGCCAGTGGCTCTGTGCGAACACTTTGTGGGCAGAGACCTAGATTTTCTTTGAATCTGGAGGAAATAGAGCCCAGTGCTCAGCAGGGAAGGCCTCGGAGAATGACAGCGAGACAGCGTGCCAGGAACCATCACAAAGGTTGCAGTAAAACTGCCAGTTTATTTACAGAGGCAGACAATCATTATATTGCCTGAGCTGTAATTGCCCTCCAAAGCCCTGGGCAAGTTTTGCAAACACAATCGCTTGCCCTCCCTGCCTTACATCACTGACATCTTTCCATCTGGAGCAGGAACTCATGCAACAGAACTTCTCTTGGGATGGCAGGAGAGCAAAAAGAGTTTTATTTGAGCCCCAAGCTATGTTTCTTTAAGCAACAGCGTGGGGTGGTTTTTGGGGTTTTTTTTATCAGTGTGATTTCACTCAGGACTCTTTAAGGAGGCTGGAGTCCCTGCAGAGCAGGGCTTGCTGCTGCCCAGATTGTGCAACCGGGATTCCGACATGCTTTGGGAACAGGCAGCTGCCTGCAATTATTTCCCAACTGACAAACGCCTCTTGGGGGTTTATTGCTTTTATTGGATATTTTGTGCCTCACTCTCCAAGCTCCAGACCAGGCCTAGCCAGTTAACTCTGGGTTCTCCACGAGCTTTCCAAACCCTCCCCAGGTTAGGCAGCCAGCCGGCGTGGCTTGGCAGGCAGGAGGGACCCAGGATCAGAATTTCCCCCTCCTCCCCCACCAGGCGCCCGCTGCAGGGGTCCCAAGGCTTAGGGGAGATCACCTGCTACAAAGGCATCAGTTTGGTGCTGGATCCCGAGGGGTGCTGTGCCCCTGGCCTGTGCAGCAGATACTTGGCTGTGGGGCTAATCAGGCTCCTCGTTAGTGCCGTGTTTGTGCTTGGCCGGGCTGAACTTGGTGCCTGGCACAGCACAGGGGGAAGTGGGGGCAGTGCCAAGTTATCCTCTACACGTACCAGGTACCTTTTTCCTGGGACAGTCTGTGCCTGCTGAGCCAAACGGAGTTAAAATTTCCCCCCTTTCAGTTTGCCATCAGCTTCAAAACCCGCTGCTGCCATTTCAGACCTAAAGACCCTCTTCTCCTCCTTCCAGAGCATCGTGAGGTGCTCAGAGCCCTCGCGATGCCTCTGTGTGTGCTGCTCCTCCCCTAGGCACTGGCTGGCCGTGGAGTACATCTGGGTCCTCGTTCCCTACATGACTTATGACATCTATGTCATGTACCTCTGCCACTGGCACAAGAGCCAGGAAAAGGGAATTGCAGAGAAGAAGCACTCGCTGGCCAGCGTGTGGAGCTTCCTCCTGCAGGAGCGGCTGATGGTGACCCACCACCTCTTCATCCTCATCGTGCTCACCCCCATCACCCAGGTAAGGGCTGGGCATGGCTGCTGCAGGAGCCCTTGACCCCTTTGGAGATGTTGGGTGTTGTCTCCCAGTCACCTCCCCGGAGGGCCCCATGCTCACTGCTGCCTTTCTTTTACAGCACTTCAGGGGAGAGCTGGGGGACTTCTTCGTGGGCTGCATCTTCACAGCAGAGCTGAGCACGCCTTTCGTATCCCTGGGCAAAATCCTCATGCAGGTAGGTGAGGAGGGACAGGGCTCGGGTCTGGGAACCCCTCAGCAGTTTGTACACAGGCTCCATCAGCCTCTGTTCGTGCAGCAGCTGGGCCAGGAGTCTCAGAGAGAGGCAGCTCCACAGCTGTAAACCCAATCTCCCCTGCAGTGCTGCCTTCCTTCCTCCGTGTCCCATTCCTTTCCCCCAGTAAGCAGCACGCCCAGTGACATCCCAGAACTGGGGGCTGTGCCACGGCCTGGTGCTGCCCTCTCCTGCCTGTCCCTCTCCTGCACCCTGTTCACTCCCACCCCAGCCCTCTGCCCCCATCTCCCTTCCCCCTACCCTCCTCCATCCTTTCCCACCCCACTTTCCTTGCTCCCCAGTGCTCACCTCCCTGCCGCCCAGCACAGTCAGTGCCCAAGGAAAAATGCTGCTCACCCCACGCTGGCCTCTTCCCTTTCCCCAGCTCAAAATGCAGGACACGCTCCTGCACAAGGTGAACGGGATCCTCATCCTGGTGACCTTCTTCCTCTGCCGCATCCTCCTCTTCCCCTTCATGTACGCGGCCTACGGGCGGCAGGTGGGGATCCCCGCGTACCTGGTGCCTTTCCGCATCCCGCTGCACTGCAACATCGCCAACGCCTCCCTCATCGCCCCCCAGCTCTACTGGTTCAGGCTCATCTGCCGCAAAGCCGCCCGTCTCTACGGCCGCCCGCCCGCCGACCGGAGCAGATAACGGCCGGGCCCAGCCGGGGGCTGCAACGGGGTCAGCCCCGCCGGCTCTGCCACCGTCACTGGGAGCAGGGACAGCACTGGGGCCGTCCCAGCTGGAATCAGCCTCACGTCTCCACCGCCGTGCCAGGCAGCGCCAGCCTGGGCTAGGAAGGCTTTCCTCCCACACCGCTCCAGCGCCTGGCATCCACCCGCCCGTGGGAGCCGGATCGTAAGCACAACATTCCATTCTGGGGTTCAGCGCCGCGGCACGGAACTAACGGTTACACGAGAGGGGTTTGTTACAACCCACCCCCCCCGCTGCATGTTCCAGGGCTGACACCAGACACCGGCACGGCAGTGTGGAGGAGCCTGCAGACAGAGGAGGGGATCCCGGAGCATCCAGCCCCTACGAGCAGCACGGATGGGGATGGGGAGCTGCGTGCCTGACCTGCCACAGCCCCAGCTCGCTCCTCCAGCTCCAGCTCAGCCTCCAGGCGAGAGCAGTGCCAGGCCTGGAGCTGCAGTACAGTTCTGCAGAGCCGTTCCTGACCATTACCGACTTCACCTCTACACTACAGCCCTGTTCAGCCTCTGACCTCCCACATGCACCTCCTGCTGCTGCTGCTGGGCTCAAGCTCATTTAAAGCTCCACTTAACCCGAAGGTGCTTTTCATTACAACTGTCTGATGTCTGTCTGACAGTCCTGGGGCCGGGGGCTCCGGTGTTCCCTGCAGAGCTGGAGGGAAGAAGCTCACACCAGGACAGGGGAACGGTTGCACTGTCTCACAAGCAACACTGGCAGGGCAGGGTGCCCACGGCTGAAGGGCAGGATGGGGATGGGAACCTGCCAAGTCTGCACTATGCAGAGCCCTTTGTTGGCAAGGGATGCAACTTCCACCCCACTCCTCTAACCACAGCTGCTTTTATCTGCCCCGCGTCCCCTCAGCAGGTATTTAAAACCATCTGGCACACCCTGCCTCGCTCTGCCCTCCAGCTGGCACCACCACGCCCTGGCAGCAGCTGTGGTACGGCCCAAGCTCCGGTTGCATGGTCCATCCCTCCAGCCCCATCCCACTCCCCCACAAGGCTGCCAAGGACAGAACTGGGGCAGCGCAGAACCAGTGACCCCAGAGCAGGGGGCTGAGCTGGTTTTCCTTCACCAGTTTAGCCCATTCCCACCTTCAGTCGCAGCAAAATGGGTTCAGGCCACCCGGCTCGCCCTGCACCACAGGGTTCCCGAGCCCTGCGGGCGCGTGCAATCAGACCACAGCGGTTCAGTGCAGTTCAGCACCTTCCCTGCGGCCACCAGCACAAGCCAGGGCAGCCGCCTCCTCCCCACAGCCTCCCGTGCCCGCTCCAGGGCAGGGAACTGCACCAGCACAGCCCTGGCACAGCCCCACACCCAGGAGACCAGTGACCACTCTGTGCCTTTCATTCCATCTGAAACCAGCAGCCAAGCTCTGGAAGACCTGGATCTTTTGGGTGTTGTATCTTGTCCTAGGCATGGCTGTTGTTCTGGATAGAGTTAAAAAAACAAAGGAAGAAGGGCCTCTTCCAACTTGTGGATGGTTGTTGCAGAAGCGCCGCTGTCACAGTAACCACCGCGACCAGCTGATGTTATAAACCGCTTGCAACTCGTTACAGATATTTGTATCTCACCGTTTTCATTGCGAGTAACGTGCCTTACGTAAGGACAAAAAAAAACCCAAACCAGCCAATGAGGCACCTCAGTTTGCACTAACACTGCCCTATTTACTGTCAGGAGACCAATAAAGATTTCCTTTCTGAGTCACACCACTGGCTGGCTCTTCCACGTGCCGTTTGTTTCTGGGTGGGGGTGTTACACACAGGGTTACTGCTGCACCCCCACCCCCGGGCAGGAGCAACACACGCGCATTTCTAAAGGTTCCTGCCTGTCCTGAACTCACTCAACTCGCTTCCCAGCCTCTGGCAGCACGTGGCAAACCCAGCAATCCTCCCAGGACTAGGAGAGGGCTGGTGGCAAAGGAGCTGGAAGGAAACTATTTCCCTGATGCTGGAGGCTGCCGGGCTCTCTGTAAATTCCGACTGCCAGCAGGCAAGGCTGGAGCCACAGAACTGCCAGCTCGTGCCCACAGTTATTCCCACGGAAAATTACAGTGGTTCCTCCTACCCATCTTTACACAGCCCCTCCACTGCTTAGGCAGGGTGGGAGAAAACACAGCAGGAAGGGGGAAATAAATACAAAAGTGAAAAATAGGGTTTATTACAGATCTTACACCGTCCAGGTAAGGCGTCCCTTGTCGGTGCTCTCCTCTGTCACCCTCTCCAGCTCCTCACTCCGGCTCCCCGGCCGGGCGTGCCCCCAGCTTGCTGAGCTTCTGCAGGAGGGTGCTGCGCAGCTCGCTGTCCCCCACGTTGTCCGTGATGGCCCCCAGGAAGTGCCTCTCGTTGGCCCTCCTCAGGGCGCCGCTGGGGGACGCGTCGGCGCCGCTGAACGCCTCGTACTGCGACAGGACCTCCAGCGCCACCACCAGCAGGGGCTCCCCGCAGCCCCGGGCCGGCAGCATGGCAGCCACGTGCAGCAGGTGACAGAACAGCTGGATGCAGACGAAGGACACCTCCTGCGGGGAGCTCCCGTCCCCGGCGGGCTGCGACCCCGCCGCGCCCTTGACGGAGCTCAGCAGGTCCGTCAGGCTGCCGCAGTAGAGCTGCACCACGTGCAGCCAAGCCTCTGGGGCCAGCCAGGTGGAGCAGCTGGAGCTGCAGAGGAGCTGGAAGCCCCTCAGGAAGAGCACGGAGAGCTGGAGGCAGCGGGCAAAGGGGCGGAGGTTGAGCAGGGGCATGTACTGCACGTACTCCAGCGTGTAGGGCACGTGCAGGACCTGCCTCTGCAGCAGGTTTTCCACCACGAGCACGAGCCTCTTCCACTCGCTGTGGCTGCACCAGGGGAGCACCTGAACGAGGGCCACCAGGAACCCTTTGCTGAAGAGGTTCACTTCTTCAGGGTTGTCCACGTTGACGGTGAGGAGCGCCAGCATCGTGTCCCTGAGCGCTGGGGACACGCAGCAGCACTCCATCCATGCCAGGAGCCCGCTGCCCGCTCCGTAGGCTGGCAAAGACTGGGATGTCCACTCGTCCTCAGGGAGGGCGCAGATCTCAAACAGCGTTGCCGGGACCTCGTTCTTGAAGTGGTCTCCATAAAGCTTCTTCAGTCTGAGCCCGACGGTCCAGTCCAGGGATGCCACCTTCCTGTGCAGCCAGGCCAGGGACTGGACCCACAGCTCCGGGGAGGGGGCGGATTCTGGTCCCACCACCTCACAGAGCTGGCAGAGGATGTTCAGAATCAGGTCTTTGGTCTCCAGTGAAGGGAAGAGCTGCTCCCTAGGCTGATGCCAGTATCTGGTGTAACCATCTAGAAGCTTGCAGAGGCTCAGTACAAGTGGGAACGGGTGACAGGATTTGATCCAGTGCTCTTCTGAACAGGGCTGTATTCCCAAAGCCTTACTGAGGACCTGCAGGCTCAGCTCAATCTGAGGAGAGTCTGACTTCAAAGAGGGTAGGACAAAAGCTTTGGTCACCTCTGCAGGGGACACAAGTGGGGTGGCTGAGCCTGGCTGCATGAGAAAGGCCAGGAACTGAAGGAACTGCTCCTCTTCCCTTGTAGTGGAAAGCTTCCCCCATACTGCCTCCTCCAGACACCTCACTACCAGGTTGTGTGGCCTGCCTGGATCCTTTTGGGTCTCCAGGAAGCTCAGTGCTGGGAAGGAGCAGAGGATTTGTGCAAGGAACTGGTGTGCTCCTAGGTTGACCACAGCAAGATGGCAAACCTGCTTCACTGTGGCCTCAGGGTACAGCAGTGTGAGCCTGGCCACAGAAGCCACAGCCCTGGTCAGGCCTTCATCGGACACACTCTTTGTGATCTGGTTGAAAGTCACATTCAGATCCTCCTGGAACCCCTCCCTGACAACCTGCAAGTTCAGGGACAGACCTGGTCCACCCCAGGACGTCAGGACACCCGAGATCACCTTGTTTTTGTCGGGTAATGAAAGCTCGGTGTAACAGTCCACGATGGCTTTGGTCACTTGCACCTGCAGATCTCGGGCCTCCTTGTCTTGACAGGACGTAGCAAAGCTCACCAGTGTCTCCAGCAATTTCAACACCAGCTCTGGTTTCTGGAAGAGAGCTTTATTTTGCACAAGGCAGTCAACCCAGGCCTTTGAAAAGGCCCAGGTCTTTTCAGATGCAAAAACAGAGCACATGTCCACATGCCGGTCCAGCCTCTGTGCAATGATTGCCATGGCAACTGAAGACACAAGGCTGGTGGCCAAACCCTTGCTCTTTGGGCTGGCACTGCTCTCCTTGAGAAAGTCCTTGGTGACCTGTGTGAGCTCTAACACCACACGTGTCTCATCCTCACCCAGGTCTCTGGTCTCCGAGAAGCAAACCAGGTTCTTCCCAAGGGTGGTCAGAGCGTCCAGGAGCCGGTAGCTCTCATAGCAGAGCTGCTCAGAGCTGCTCAGAGCGTCCTGCAGCTCCTCTCCCCAGGCACGCAACAAGCTCAGGAGAAACTCCAAGCCAGCAAAGAGCTCCTCACGGGAGAGTTTGGTCACACACGGGAGGCTCAGGGTTCTCTCTGCTTCCCTCACCTTCTCTCCCAGCCCGCTGTGGTAGAACTGGCTGTCAGGGTCGCTGGTCCAGAGGCTGACGGTGGCACTGACCTTGTCCAGGTACTCTGCGGTGGGGAGGGAGCTGCCCGCTGGCTCCAGCTCGGTGAACACGGAGAGCAGCTCGGCCAGGTTGGCCAGGGCGTAGCACTGCATGCGGGGCTGGGCGATGCTCCCGTGGATCTGCTTCAGCCCCTCCACCAGCACCATGAACAGCCCGGGGGCAGCTGGGGGGACGTTCACAGGGTCACCCTTGAACCTCTTTGGGGGCTGCAGACCGTCATCCAGAGAGGACTCACCCCCGTGCTGGCTTACGAGAGCGCTGAACGCAGCGACCGTCGCGTCCTCCTGCCCCTCCCTGTGCTTCATCACCTCCCACCACACGTCCAGGAACAGCTTGATGTCGGACGAGGACGTCTCGCTGGCGACATACGCCACCAAGTGCTCCAGCTGCTCCCGGCACACGCCCGGCGGCAGCGCCAGCAGCAGCTGCACGAACACCCGGGGCACTCCGAGAGCCTTGACCAGCTCGAAGAGGGCGGTGTGGTTCACGTCGGGGATCATCGCGCCCACCGAGAAGAAGCCGTCGTCCCTCCACCCCCACTCCAGCGAGGCGGCCGGGGGCGCGGGCAGCAGCACCTTGGCCCAGACGATGGCCACGGCCTCCCGCTTCCAGCGGCCGTGCTCCCGCGGCGAGGGGCAGCGCTCGCCGATCTCCCGCAGCGCGTCGGTGATGGGCACCCCCGCCAGCGGCCAGTCGGCCTTGCGCAGCTCCCGCAGCGCCCGCGGCTGGAGCAGCCGGGCGGCCAGCAGGAACCCGCCGTGCAGGATCGCCGTGTGCTCGCCCACGGCCCAGGGACCTGCGGGACACACGGTCAGCGCGGCCCGGCCCGGGACACCCCGGTACCCCCATCGCCCGCTCCCGCTCCCCCGGATCCCGCACGGATCCCGCACTCACCCGGCTCCATGGTGGCGGCGCGCTCTGACGTCACGCGGGCAGCCCGATATGACGTCACGTCCCCGCCCGCAGCGCCCCCTGGAGGCCCGGCGGTGGGTTAATTAATTAATTTGTTATGTATTTATATTACTATATTGTATTTCTATATTATAAAGTGTTATATTATATATATTACATACATAATATAATTTAATTATGCATACCACATATTAAAATGTATTTATATTACTATATTGTATTTCTATATCATATAACTTGTTATATTATATATGTAATATGTGATTATGTATGCCAGTTATTATAATGTATTTACATTAATATACTGTATTTCTATATTATAATCTTATATATCATATGTAATATGTAACTTATGTATGCCAGCTATGATAATGTATTTACATTAATATACTGTATTTCTATATTATAATCTTATATATCATATGTAATATGTAACTTATGTATGCCTGATATTATAATGTATTTACATTATTATATTGTATTTCTATATTATCATGCATTATGTTAAACTATATATTAATTAATTATGCACACCAGATATTACAATGCACTGTGTTTCTATTATTATATTGTATTTCTACATTATGATGTGCTACATTATATATTGTATGTAATATATGATGTAATTATGTATACCACATATTATAGCGTGTTGCATTTATATTTCACTTTTAATAAGTTTATTGGCAATCAATTAATTAATTATTTTGCCCGGATATGCAGTTAACAGCAAGGGAAACCCCTGGTGCAGTGGCACAGCAGGTGGGCACCCAAACCATCCTCCCCAACCATTTTTTGTTTCATTTCAGGGCACAGCTCACATGTGACACATTTAACTTGATCGATGCACAACTGAAAAAAACACACCCCAAAGCACAGCCTCAGCTCCCTCCTGGAATGTGGAAAGCTCCTTGGGAAGGGGTGGAAACCACCACATCAATACCACGATCCCAGTGAGAAACACACCACGGGCTTCTCAAGTGAACATTTCACCTCGAGAGCTGGGGAAGCATCCAGGAATGAAAATAAGGAGTAGAATATTCACAGGATTTGGCAAGATCACTTCTTTGTTCCCAATAAACATTGTGACAGCTGAACTGCTCCAGGTCTCCACACACAGCCCCACATTCTGCCACCGGAGCAAGGCACGTGCAGTACCCACACCCACAGAAAATCTCTTCTCTGAGCTGCAATTCCAGGACAGCTAAAGCAAAATCATTAGAAAATTAGATATTATAACGTATCTGTCAATCTCTTTTTCAAGTATAACAACACAGAAACGTGAGGTTTTCTTAACCAATGATCCCTGGACCTGAAGCCCCGTGCTCAGCCTGCTCCTCAATGCCCAGCCTGATTTTTTGGAAGGAGAACATGTCACTTGCTTGAAAGGAGAGAGCAGCAGTCACAGACATCAGCTCAAATCAAATCAACCGACCAACCAGCACCCTCAGATTGGGAGGGCAGTGCAACACATTCTACAGGATTGGCATTTTCCTGGATGAAGTCCAAGGCACAAAGGAGCAGCTCAGTCCTTTCCTCCAGCTAAGCTGAAACCTTCTTCATTTTGTGTGCAGCAAACCACTTGTCACTGTTGTCCGCAGCCATGGCCTGCACAAAGACAAGCGTGAACGTGGTCAGAGCAGCGGGAAAGCTGTTTTGATGGGTAAATTATTTTCTTTTAGCTGCTAGTAAAGAGAACAGACACCATTCCCTGGCACAGGAAATAAAGAATGACTGGTTGACACAAGAGCAAACCAGGACAGTTTGGACACAGCCTTCCCACAGAGCTGACACTCCATCCCAGGCAATGTCCCTCTATCTCCAAGGGATGTCCAGCTGCACTGATGCTACTGAAGCTCAAAAATCACTTTTTGCAGTAATTTATACCAAAGTGCTGTTGAAGTGTCCAGCAAGAAACTCCATCACCCAGCTGCCTGGAGAGAGAGGCTGGAAAACTCCACACAGGGCACTAAGTGAGCTTTAAAAACTGATTTATTTTCCTCATCAAGCCTGGGCGATTTGCTTTTGGAAAAACTCAATATGGGATGAAAATTAAGGCTCTACAGCTATCTATAGTCAGGAAGAAAATGAATGTTCAGGCAGCATTACTTACATCATCCAACAGCTTGTCACCGTTAGGGTCCACCTTGGACAGGTCTCTAAAGGCTTCATCTCCCACAAAACAGATTTCGTGGCCGTCCTAAACCAAGTTTAAGAGCAGGTCAGTTAGACAAAAGGCAGGGAGAAATTTAAGCTGAATTTCATCCTCATTTCCAGCATTACTCACAGGATCAGCCAAAATAATCACTTGCACTGTGGCTTTGCCAGGCGTGTCCAAGCTCACCAGGGGTGTCAAGATTTTCTGATTCTCCTTTTTCATCAGCGCTTCAATGCTGGGCAACTTAAACAGAAAACAAACAAAAACCAACCCTGTATTCCCCACTGCAAGAAAAGATAAACTATCTGCTCAGTACTGTTTTGTTCACACATGAGATACTTTGTTAACACTAGAGGCTGACCTCCCCAGCTCCGGGTAAGGAAAGGGGAAAGGGAAATGTGACTGTTACCTCCTCCTTGGCACAGGAGAAGGCGATCCGTCCAAACGCTGTCCCGTGATCCACCGCTCCTCCGACAGCCTTCAGCTCCAGCTTACACTGAAACAGGGAGAAAGCAAGCCTGGCTTGTAGGGATAAAAGTCCAGATGAATGTATACAGAAGCTTCAATTAAAATGCTCAGAAGAAAGCACACAGTCGCTTAAATTAAAAGGTTTTTTGCTTTTAAGGTTCTAGGATGAGTTTTCCAAGGACTGACCTGGTTATCCGCGTAGCCCAGCAAAGCCCTTTGCTTCTCCTCATCCTTCTCGTAGATTTTCATCCCAAGCAAACCAGACCAGTAGTTAAGAGACTTCTGCAGATCTGAGACACCCAGGGTTACCTTCAGCACGGGATCTTGAGGATTGCAATAACTGGGAATTAGTTACAAGTACATCGTGGTTTTAAAGGCACATTTTTACACTCGTGAGAAGCAACACAGAAATAACAAAACCCTGCTCTGTTTCACAAAATGCCATCAAGGCAAACACACAGCCCATTCTGGTATCCCCGTGGTAAATCTCTCTTGAACACCAGTAAGAGTGAGGGTAAATGTCTCACCTTGCTTGAGCTTCTCCTTGTCTTCCAAGTAGAACTTGTATCCTCCCGGAGCTTCGGTTTCAAAGACACCGGTTGTGACTTCTTTGAGGGGCCACCCCATCTTCTTGGCATTGCTCACAGCCTGGCTGGACACCAGTGTGATGCCCTGGTGAGGACACAGCAGAGACACACAAAATTCACGGGGAAAATGCAAAGACATCATGTGTTTTCACAGATGAAACACGAGATCTCCATCTGCTGTCAGCAGGAAAATCACAAAAAATCCACAAGTAATAATAAATAATTGTGTTTTCCTACACCAAGATCCTTTTTAGCTAACCATTCCAAGCTGGATCTGGCAGCAAACACCAGATATCCTACACACACAGCAGAGGCAGAGCTCTAGGAAGTGTTTCCTGGACCATAAGTGAGCCCAAATCTGCTCTAGTTTCTGCTCTTCCAGCTTGGAGACAGCCACAAAAGCAAGAACAAAATGTTTAAGGGACCAAACAGCATAGAAAAGCAGCTGGTACAACCTATCTGACAAACAGACTCCTAACCTTTAAAGTGAATAAGCTTTTCATCAGAAGATTTTGCTGCTAGGAGTGGTACTTACCAGAAAGTCATTGCCCAGGCGATACTCTCCAATGCCATAATTGTAAGTCAGCTCTGCAACAAAGTGATTGTCCTCTGGCCCGTAGCCCACCATCGTTTTGCTCCATTTTCCATCGTAAGGGCTGGAATATCCGTATTTAATTGTCATGAGCATTAAAAGTAACCAACGTGAACTGCAAATATTGGTGTGTTTCAAGGAAGAATTGCATTTCTAGAGTGAAAAAACGGCAGGTTTGACCACGTGGCGAAAAAATTCTGCCTCATTAACAGCCGACGATTTAAGGGCACAGGCTGCTCATTAGCTGGAGTTACATCAGCACTTCCTTATTGCTGAGAGGGAAAGGGCACCAAGCTGGAAGATTTCTTTCCTTTCAGAAGGAAATGCATTCTTATTTCTTCTTTCTTCCGTTCTTCTGTCTTTACAAAAGCCTTTGGGGCTACCAGGAGGGACTTTTAACTTCAAGACCTTAGTTAGCCCCGTGCCCATGAAAAAAAATCAATGTAATGTAATTCTTGGTAAGTTTAGAAATAGTTTAATAAAGTTGAGTATTGATCTGTGGGTGTAATTCAGCAATATTTGTGTTCAATGCAAGCATTATATCTACACAGAAAGGGGGTCTGTTGATTCCAAAGGAAATAATTTAAAAAAAAACAAAAAAGCAAACAACTAAACAAAACAGCACAATAAATCATCCCAACCCTTATTTTACAATAGTAGTACACGGCTGGCAGGTGTTTCATGAAAACAAGGGACCCAAGGGCACTCACCCGTTGCAACTGGCCTTGCAGCCCTCCTCGAACTCCTCGTGCCTCAGCACCTTTGGAATCAAGAGAGAAAGGGGTCAGGATGGGGATGACGTGGGCCCCCTCTCCCTTTCCTATTCCTATTCCACTTTTCCTGTCCCACTTGCCCTTTCCTCATCCCCCCTCCTATTCCCTGTTCCCTTTCCTCTGTCCCACTTTCCCCTTCCTCATCCCCCTTTCCTATTGCCTGTCCCCCTTTCCACTTTCCCCATTCCCTTTTCCCTTCCCCTTTCCCCTCAGGAGCCCTCACCGGGCCCGACACCGCCCCGGCGGCCACACCCGTCCCCGTGGGGGGCTCGGAGCGCACGGCCGGGGCCGGGACACCCCCTCGCTCGCTCCCTCGCTCCCCGCTCACCCTCATGCCCAGCAGGTCCCGGTAGAACCGCGCCGTGCGGGCCCGGTCGCCCACTTTGAACACGAAGTGCAGGGCCCTGCGGGCGGCCATGGCGCCTCGTGACGTCACTCCTCTTTCCCCCCCTCCCCGGCTCGTGACGTCACGCTGCCGTCCCTCCCGGGGGCGTGGCGCG